GGGCTGTCAAAACGAGCATCGAAATGGGTTCCAGCTTAACGACTGCAGAAGCGGCCAAAATTGGTGAAATGACCCCGAAATCTGTTCAACGGATTCTCCACAGATTGGGTTATCATTGCAGAGCAGCTAGACGGGAGCCCTAATTAAGATCTGCCAACATAGTCAGACGAAAGAAGTGGCAAGTAATATGATGATCAATTCTCTGGACTTTTGGAAGACCGTATTGTTCTCAGACGAATCAAGATTCACTCAATTTTCAGAATATGGGTCTGGAGAATGCCTCACCAAGAGTTTTGGCTCAACAGATTGCAGTCAACTATGAAGCGTGGTGGTTTCAGCGTGATGGGTTGGGGAGCTGTTTGGGTTGGTGGGAGATCGAGCTTAGTGGAGTGCGTTGGCAACATAAATTTTGCGAAATACGTCGAAATATTGAAGGAAGGACTCTTGCCACTTTATTCCTTGGGTTCCGCGGACAAGAACACAACGTTGTTCCAGGAAGATAGAGCACCGTGTCACACTGCTAGAAACACCCAAAAGTGGCAGGAAGAAAATGGTATCCAGAAGTTGCCCTGGCCAAGCCAATCTCCTGACATGAACTCCATCGAAAACCTTTGAGCCATACTCGACCGGCAAGTCAAGAAACAACAACAACAAAAAAAAAAACAACCTCGAAGAGCGATCTACTCCAAGTTTTGAAGCAAGAGTGGGCGAAAATCCCACAATCTAAAATTGACGAGATGAAAGGAAGATCTATTAGATATTAATTGAATTATAAATATATCAATTCATGTGAATATGACTGAAAAAATTCATTTTTTCTGAAAAGGTGGTGTCTATTTACTTGTGACCACGCAGTGTATAATAAGTTTACAATGCAAAACAATATCTACAATAAAAAAATACGATAATAAACAAATAAAATAAATATTAATAACAGTCGAGATATTAAGCAGTATAATCAATAATTTTAACGAAACCAACAATAAATATAAATGTTTCTTAAATCTAGTAGAAAGAGATAAATAGGTTAATTATACACTTTATTGAAAGCTTATTACCGCTAGATGGTGGATATTTTACTGATACCATATCTTATATGTATACAGCGTGGGTATGTTAGGCCAAAGTGTAACAACAATTCATAAACTGTTTGAAAAGTAGCATGTTTTATTTTTTCATTATTGTTATTATAGAGATGAAATGTGTCGCGTAATATAATTATTGTTAAATCTTAGCTACTTTATTGTCTTTACAAAGTAACTACCTCTTTTTCTTAGTTGTGTATGAAAGTTGAAGTTTGAAAATGAAAGCACGTTATCATTATGCTAAAACCTAAAGCTAAAAAAAGGAATTTTAGTTTATTAAAAATTATAATGAATTCCTACAAAATAAATTGTGAATTTAAGTTTGTATTTTGTGTCGGGGGTAGTTGTGGAGGGACTATCTCGAAGTCGAAGGACCAAAGTTCAAGACCTGGTTCAAGTTGTCTGTAGTACAGAATGGTCCAAAATTATCTTTCCTGTTTTAAAATTTGATAATTAATATAACTAAGGAAATACAACCATTCAGATTTCAACATCTTGTAGCCCAACCTAAACAGTTTTTGTCATGTTTTTCTTTTCACTTCACTGAGTTGTGTTACCCAGGAAAATGGCAACTGTGCAAGTAATTATTAAAGGCTCAACTCGTCCTTTGGCTTGCAGAGACCATAACCAGTGACTGTGGGGCAGTGTAATTACAGACATCAATACAGAAAAGGAAGAGTTGGGTTTGTTAAGATTATTGTGTATTGCACACCTATAACATTAACAAACATCATGGACGTCATTGGCACTGTAAGTGTAACTGTAGGCATGTTGCACTTGCAGTGAATGTGAACAGAAATCAAATGTCAGTTAGAGCCACTATTGGTGTAGATGTAGAAGTCTACTGACATGTCAGTAAAAACTGTTTGAGTTTATTATTTTCAAGATGTTGAAAACTACATGGGTGTATTTTTTTTGTTAGTTAATTATTAGATTTTAAAAAGGAAAGATAATTTTGGACCGCTGTGTTTTATAATTTATTGAAGGATTAGTGCTTACAAGTTGCAATGAAATAGGCACAAGGAATAAATGATGAAAAACAAGTAAATAACCGAGTCTGTGAATCATGTGATCATGTAATGTAGATTGTTATAAATTTGTACAATTTGACATTTTGCTTAAATTTTAATTTTATTATAATACATATTAAAAACATAATACCAAAAAACATCTTTAATATGGATGTTTTGGAATTTCCTTAAATTCCATCATCAGCATTAATATCAAAAAAAAAAATTAGGTCATAATATTTGAATTACAAAAACAACATTACGATTGAGCACGTTTTCGTATTTAAATTAGAAGTTTAGAAAGAGCAGATTTGAACTTCCGATTAAATACGAAAACTCGCTCAATGCTAATGTTGTTTTTTTGTAGTTCAAAAATTATAAACAAATTTTTTTGTTTTTCAGATATTAATGATGATGATGGAATTTAAGGAAATTCCAAATTGTCTGTATAAAGATGTTTTTAATATTTATTCATTTTATTATTAATATTAGAACATAATAGAAGGATTTCATATTCTGATAGTAGTAAGTATGTACCACTAGCACTTTGTTTTAGGCTACACAACAATGAAGTTGATGTTTCTTCCACATTTGAGAAGGTAAATGCTGAAGTTGTTTTTTTTCGTTATCATATCTAGGAACATGTACATTTGGTTAACTCTGAGTGAGATTTTAAAAAAATATAGGCCTAGAGTGATGATGATGTATGAAATTTTCAGTAATACTAAGGAACTAATAATATAGCTTCTTTAGTATTACATAAAACATTACTGCCTTCCTTTCAATCATTAGCATATTTATATTTAAAGAAAAAAATATATTTTTGTAGGTAATAAGAAAGCAATGATTTGTAGTGTCTAATATTTCAATTTCAGAATCATCCATTGTGGTAAAAAAATCTTGTAATTACATATTACTCAATTTTCATTGGATGGAATTTCCAGACAAAGCTTGTTTATTGGATGGGCCAAAAACAGATTAGTCAACAGCTATCTTACCTTGAGATTACATACAACACAGACTATGTATGGTAAAGGAATTCCTGGAGAATCCTGGTCAAATATGGAGAGTTCTCATGCATAATAACTATTATTAAGCACCAGTAAATGAAAGCTGTGGAACAAATTAGGCAATGCTACTACTGTACTAGAAATTAAGTTGACAATAATAGGCTACTTTGATCTTTGTGATTTTTTCTGTTTTGTTCAATTTATAGAAAAAAAAAACTTTTGGTAAGGTCTCACAAAAGATTAGCAAATAAAAATCACAATTGTAAGATTGGGGAAAGACAAGTTGTATTGTAAAATATTTGGGAGAAAATAAAAGGCTGTTATTAATGAAGTCCAGTCAACCTGGACCTTTGTTAGTAGTGGACTGCCTCAGAGGTCAGTTCTTGGGCCATAGCTTTTTTCTTATGTATATTAATGATTTTTTAGGGTATAATTGTTGAATTAGTAATGTTTGCTGATGACATTTAACTCATGTTTCTAGCTGTAGTGAGAATGTTGAGGTACTACAGAATGACTTGGATCATTTGGTAAGTTGGCCAATGATCTTTATCTATGATAACTGTAAAGGTAATTGTCATGATATAAATGACTGTTTAGTTTAAATATTAGTGATTAATTTATATTTGTGAGTGAATACTTTATTATTTTTAAGTTTTGTTATAATAAGAGTTAAAAGCAGACGATTGTAGAAGGTTTGTTCACTAATTGGTGTCGAGAATATAGAAAATGGCCAGACGACTATGTAATAAAGATATAAATAGTGTGAAATGAGCAGGAAGCAGCAGAGAGACAGTATTAGACAGATAAAAGCAAAGATAATATAGTTGGTGTGAAGTTAAGTAACGTAAAAGTGATAGGCCCAAAGAAGTTTCTGAAAAATAAAGAATGAGTTTAAATTTTTACTTTTCTTACCTATAATGCCTCTTTTTCCTCACTTATGAATGGTAGGTAAAGGGTTTTGTTCTTGATGTGATCTCTAGGTAAGATAGTTGTTCCCACAGTGAGCATAGTGCTCATCTTGTTGCATATGACTGATCTGTTTTTTTAATATCTCATTACTAGCTTACTAATTCTTTAACCCACCTTATATAAAAGATTTATATGGCAGTCTATCTGTTTTCTTTTAACTTTTACAACATAAAAACTTTTGCACTTTCATTGCTTTAAACTTTTATTATCACTTAGAAATGGAATGAAATCTAATAGAATTGAAATTGTAGATAACTACATCAAACCTATCAGAAAATTTAGTGAATGAGTACCTGTAACAGTAAATGTCATTTTTTTTCACACTGTGCTTTAAAAAACAAAGGGATGCTGAGTTGAACATTGAGGTCATCAACCACATCAGCTGTTCATAAAGTGGTAGTGAAAATATGTTATCTAGACTTATTAATGATGCAAATAAAAAGATGCACCAAGACAGTCAATAATATATAGAATAATTATGCTTTCATAGCTAGTGGTAGTTTAACTGATGCCATTGGTAAAAATTACACATTCATACTCACTCAAGCATCCCTGAGCATTGTAGGCCTATTCTGAGTGCTGGGTCTGTATTTTTCCCTTAGATATTTATTATATGTGTTTGTATACTATGTTTGGGTTTATTATGCCGTAGTTGGAGGAACATGTCAATTAAATTACTATGCAAGTAACAACAAAGTCTCGAATTACAAAACTGTAACAACAAAGTCTCGAATTACAAAACTGTAAAATTGAGCTCAAGTGTGAATATCAAGATTAATGACAAGTTCACAGTTATTAGGAAGTGAATTTTATCTGTGCTAGACTGTGGATAGGTTATTTATATTAGTTATTTTTTTCTTTTGAATATGGTTTTTATTTGACTATTTAAAATGTAGGAACTATAATAAAGTGGTATAATTGAGAAGCAAAAGTCAACTTCTTTAATTTGAGCAGCTTTAATGGCATAGTTAATACACTTAGAGTTTATCAAAATTTATGACAAGCTAGTTAAATAGCTAAAAATTCTTGTGGGCCAGCAGAAACACTGTTAAATGTACTAAACTGTTAAGATTCTGTGGTGTCCGTGTTATAGTATTGTGTATATATAGACACATACAGTTCTGGTGTATTTGTCTAATTCAAAACATGAATTGTCATATTTGCTTAGTGATGTGGTTTAAATTATTTTTACAATACTTTTCAAGACCCATTTTCAATGTCTTTTACCTCATCACATTGAAATCTCAAGATATAATGTTAATTCAAATTATTTTGACATTAAAAATTTCTCAAGCATATGTGAAAAAATTGAGAAGATTAAACTGAAAAGAGCTACATAAGTTATAACATTTGAAAAACGTTTTTATATCTTATGAAGTATTTTAGCAATATTTGTTCACTGTTTGTTTTTCCTTATCAAGATGTTGACAAGATGAAATGTTTTACAGGTGTTGAAAGTACAAAATTTGAAATACCTGCATGTGAATCTTGATGACGATGGCTGGAACACACATGAAACCCAGGTAATTGAATTTAAAAAATATATAACTACACATAACTGCCTTATTCATTTGTTGTTGCATAATTAAAGCATAATATTTCAAATATTGGTTAATTCCATACCCAGTGAGGCACTGTTAGATAATAATAAATTGAAACTGTATTTCATTCTTTAGTTTTTCAATTTAAAACATTCAAACTCTTTAAAATGAAATAGTGTACAACAGGTGTAATTCAAGTGCAATTTATTTTCCTTTAAAATATGAAAAACAAAATTGACTTTGCTTAAACTTTCTGTGTGTGTAAAGTGTTTCACTAATGATAATTATTTGTGCACAAAATAGAACAACAATTGCCTTTATGATAACAGTGTTGAATTTTTCAATATTAGATTGGTTTTGTTAATAGTAATTTTGAGTTGGAATATTTCATATAATGTCAACTCTGTCAGTAAAGTATAACTTACTCGAGAATGATGGTTCTGAAAATTTAATTAACTTTTGTATACTGGTCTACAGAAATAATGTGAGAACTATAGAGGCAGGTTCAGTTAGCATTCAGGTACCAGTCTCGAATATATTTGAACCTTTGGCTATCTGCATTTTCTTTTGAGACAGGTAGGGGTCAGAGGGCATGTCATCACGTTTATAGACTTACTTTCAAAATTTTATAAATTGAACTACTATTTTATGAATGTATTAAGTTGGTATCAAATTGTAGATTATAATTCAAATTTGAGTATTATAGATTAGTTAATTTCTTAATTTGACAGTAAGTATAAAAAAATTGCTAAATATCGATTTTTGTGTGTCGCACCGATATGCTATCTTTTGGGTTTGGTAAGATTATGTTTATGATACCCACATTCCAATGTCTATAGTTTCATATGAATTATAAACTCAAATTTCCAATACTGGCAAGGTAGAATATAAAATAAGAATCTATTACTTTTTCTATTTGCTAAGATATAATATTTATCAAATCCACCATATTGGCTCAGCCCACCTCTTCTACACCTTATCTACACCTGCTTTTCTATACCTATAAGTTTATAACCAATCAAAAGCTCTACATTTTCTCTACATAATTATGTTAGTCTTTTTAAGTTATTTATGAGAGAAAAGCTCTTATATCATTGGAGAGTTTGAAGTATTATGATCAGTGCTATTTTCCAAACAGAAATTAATTTTTTTAGACCCAAGTACAGCATAGTTTGGAAGACTGGTAAATTACAATAGATTTTTGTAATATTTGTGTAGTTATTTATAATTTTTGGTGATTTAAAAATGAATATATAAAGTCTACAAAATTTTTTTTCCCACATCTGCATGTGATTTTTATAAGGCTTACAGTAAGGGTTAGCAAGTACGACTCGCAAGTGCAAAAAAAGAACTTCAAAACATTGTAAGTAGTGGAGATCATTGTTTTTCGAATATTTTTATTTACTGTTCTGTGTTTTGAGAGAGATTTAAATATTTATTTGAAACAGTAATAATAAT